TGGATATCCAAACCCATCTGTTTTATGTCAACCACCATCTCCAATCTGCGATGCCGATGGCTTGATCAACAGAGCTGAGCTCAGCAATCATGACCAATACCAGCGGAAGCTTCCATGGAAGACTCCGTACCAATTTGCCGACGAAAAGGAGCTATAGAGCAAAGATGGGCAAAGGGATTTCCTATGGATGTCCTCATTTGGCCCCTATGAAATGGTTTCCATTTGGCCCCATTTGGACCATTTCACACGGGTGTCCCCTCCTCCCCTCGAGAGCAGCACTTTTGTCCCGTTTCGGCAATGGTCTTTTGGGCCTCACGCTGAGCCGAGGGATGTGGGGAAACATGGTCGCCCTCCTGTGTGAGAAATGAATGAGTCTAGCAGTCCGAAAAGAATCCTTTGGGTTCTTGCATGTAAGAAAAAGTGCTTGAGTAACGCAATTCCACTTTCTACAAGAGTTCCAAAGAATTGCCAGAATAGAAAAGACTACTGTTTCTCTTGAACATACAACTTCTAAGGAACAACCAGGTAGCCGCCACTGTTTTGACGGAAACATACAGGATACAGGGAATCTGCATATGATCTGGATCGTTCTTCATGATTTGGGTATCTTCCATATCGGCCATAGGTGTTTCGACTTTCATCATAACCAAGTTTCACTTCAACCGTTTCATGTTGATTCGACATTCACATGATCATCCATCTATTGCTCCAAAACCAGCCACAAGGGTTGGAGTTGACTCTTTTCCTTTCTCTTCTTCCCCCCCCCACAAGAACCACATGGACCTCCAAAATGATCCCAACAGAAAAAGTCCCACGTTTCGGTGCATCGGTGCGCCTTCGCTTGTCGTTCCGCCAGAGCGGACTTCAGGAGGTCCATGGGCTGCGACGACGGTGCCGCAGGTGGGCGAGGCGGAACAAGACGAGGCGGAAGGTGTCGCTGTTGGGGAACAAAGATCCACCGTCCATTGGTCGTGACACTTGACGGTGGATGTATGTGGATTATATGATTTTCAGGTAAAATCAGGGGAATGAGGGTTGCAGCTGAGGGCGGACGAGTTGGTGCCACTTTTACGACCCTCGTTAGAACTCTCCCGACCAAGCAGGACAACGATCCAAGCATGACCCCAAAGATGGCTGGATAAGTTCTATGAACAGCAAAATGAGCAACTGAGAGACTATCCCAAGCCTCAATTTGCAACTTGCAAGCCAGGCGAGATCTGTGAGCAAGCACGGATGCTTGTTCTAAATGATGGTGTTCTGTCATCAAAAAAGGAGTTTGCGTGTGCATTCTAGGTGGCACGCGACAGGTTTCTTAAGGCTTCAAAGCACGACACACCTCTCTACAAACTTACCCTGCATGTGTAGTTAAATATAATCATGCAGTTCTGACTTGTTGCTCCGTGATTCATCTTCAGGTAAAATATGGTAAAATGTGCTGTATGATGCTACATAACGTTTAAGACGTTTAAAAAACAGGGCCCTCTACCCATCCAATCAATTGGACACCCACTTGGCTTCCACCGGATGAAGCCGCGGTCCTCACCCCGACCCCGTCGTGCCCGGTCGTACCCGGATGGCTTTCTTCATGGTGAAAAAGGAGAGGCCCACAGTGGGCCACAGCGAGGGTGGGCAACAGTGTTGAGTGGCTTTCTTCGGTTGAGGGGTGGTGGTGTATGTCGTGTATTGTGGGCTCATGTCGTGGATAGTAGTATTAGTTGGCTAATGTTTGGGATGTCTGATGCATAAACTCAGTGTGTAGCCAAAGCACTTCACACTTCGCCAGTCAAGATTGGGATTGTTGGGATTGCTTTTGTTTTGACATTTTTGTTAATGGCTTCGGACAAAGCACTGATTGAGCCAAGTAAAGAGATGTTGGCAGGTAATTCTGCAAGGCAAACTGGACAGCTAGGAAGGGGCTGTATTGCCTTCTACAAAAGAGCTCATGCAGTTCAAACAACTAAAATAGAAGTGGCGCTGCTGACACAAAATAGGTGTTGCTCAACCGCTCAAGCACGGAGCAGTCGACCGCTCCCGCCAGGAATGCATGAAGCGCAAAGCAACCAACACAAACGGCATCATTGGAAGTCAGTACCCAGAGTCATTAGCCGTTGAAGGTAGAATTCCGACATACAAACCAGTGGTGACAAGAGAGATGATGTATCCCAACGATTTCCGTTGTTTGAGTCCAGGTGGTGCCGAAACGCACCCCTTCCCTCAAGTCCCCCCAAAATGTCCAGCACCCCCTTTCTGCTTCAAGATATTGGCGAGAAACAGAAAGCAAAGGTACCAACTCGGATTATCAATTCTGTAGAGCTGCCACACGTTCGCAAAAACATGTCTTGGCTCCCAGCGGCAATTTGAGCACTTTTGCAGACCCGCCCCAGTTGGAAAACCCTGCCTCACTGTGGGTCTGATACGGGCTTTATGCTGGGGTCTGAATGCTTTAGGCATGGACTTCAAGGCCCTTTGAGGTTAATTACCCCTGATTCTGAGCAAGGATCTCATTGGTGATATCACAGGGCTTAATGGAGGTCCATAAGCAGTGTAGGGTAGTCTATTGGAAACCCACTGGATGACCCCCTTTCGTTTCCTTGTCGGGTTTCGCCCAACGACATTGGTATTGACAATCCGACGACGGCTTCATCCTTTGATGACATTGGCGGATCGGAGCACATCGGGTCGATCAACTTGAGCGCCGTTGTCGCCGGCTCCCCGTTTGGCGCCGGGTCCCACCGTCGAAGCGTGGAACCGGGCGAAGGCCGAAGCGGGTGTGCCATCCACTCCGTTCGATGTCACCCGAGTAGCAACGAACGCGAGACCAAGTCGAGCGCAGCTGTCCGAAAAACGAACAACATGAGTTCCAAATGAGTTCCAACACTATCAACAATTCTCCCAGCAGAGGATTCCTGCTTTCTGGAAGGTCGCATTGAGAACACATGTTCAAACATCGAATAAACAAGCCTTCTTCTAAAACCCGATCCAATTTCCAAATGCACCTCTGATAGTCCCCACTCTGCCTAATATTCTTCCACGACTCGGTTGTTTTGCCTACCAAAGACTGAACGGCAGTCCCGTCCCTTGTGCGGCGCTCAAAACGGCCTTACCCAAACGGGGTCGGCTCAAACGGAGCTCAAGGATGACACTAGAGATGGGCCCCTCCAATTGTCTCCTCCTCCACGCACGCCACAGGTGGCCATCGAGTGACGGAACTTGGCAAAACCGCCCGTTGCTGAGAGGAGGAGACAAAGGTACTCCGACGTATAGAGGATGCGGCCAAAGGGTAGATTGAAGTTGAAACAGGGGCTGAAGGAAAATCATGAACCTGTTGAAGGAACATGTGCATGATGCATGAAACACATGAAACATGGAGACAACAGTCTATTCCCTGGAACCTTTGCGATGCGCCCATGCCCAATAGACTAACTTTGACAGTTTCATATGTGGCCAGGAGTACATATTTGTCATCTCCTTTGGGATTGGCCGAAAGCATTGGAAAACCAACATCATCACTTGTGCAAAGTCTTTTGGTGTGGATCATTATTTCAGCATTAATGTTTGTTGATCATGCAAACCAGGAAGCATGGCTCTTGAGATTCGTAAGGGTGCTTAATCAACTTGTGCCAATGATTCCTTTTTGCAGATTCTGGCTTGTGCAGTGCAGTGTGTATGACAAAATTGATGCAGGTGGCTCTCGCAAGAGCGAATGAGTCCCTGTGTTTGATCCCAACACTTTGCTCTAGCACATTGTGCAGAAGGTCACGAATAGCAAAGCATCTTGCCTGAAGGGTACCCCTTAGCTTTTTGAAGGGATACATCTTCTTGTAAGGGCCTCAGCAGACTCTCAAGGATGCTTTATGATTGTGAGTTCAACTCCGTAGGGGTAGTAAAAGCACCGGCAAAACTAGGGAAAATGACACAACAATGTACCACTGTGATGATCATCTATCACTGGGGTGGCAGCCAGGCATGAATCAATGAATATACATAGTACTGGAACAAAACGAAGCAAACACTGCAGCAATCCGATAGACCTAGATCTCTCAAAAATTGTTACAGTAGGAACATGTTTGGCATTTACAAAGGATACCGAAGCCTCTCAAATCCATCAAAACCACCCTCTGCGATCTTTGGCTTCCTCTCTATGCTTCAGTGACCGCCTTCAAGCTCTTCCCCTGGTGAGACAGAACGAAACCTAGTCATCTTTGGTTGGATGAGGCGGAAGCAGTTGGCATGTGTTCCTGTTGAATAAGTTAGAAAAATATTACATAAAGTAATTCAACATACACATGTAGCATTGTAGCATGTAGAAATCTGTCAACAGACGCACATGCTGTACTGGACACACAGGCGCGGCTGTTCATGTGTACGGCACTTCCAGTCACCCTCAAAGGACCAAATGCAAAGCAAACAGTGAACGCTTATGTACCAAATCCTGCTTGAAATCCCACTCTGACTCTGACGTCAACCATCCTCTCTTGACTCAAGCAGCATCAGGTCTTGACGTCTGTGATTTGTGAGGGGTATGGACCTACCGGAAGCAAATCACTCATAGGCACTTTTCTCGACGTCACCTCACTACTGAAGGTGTCTCGATGCTGCTTCTGGTGTCTTGAAAATCTGAGAACGGCGATTTAGCAAGGTCCATCTCTACCAGCCATCAATCATCAACAAAAACATACAAAAACCTGATCTCAATGAATGTTTTACGATTGGGCCACACCTGCCTCTGTACTTCGGACCTTGTCACGCTGTTTCGAGACATACAAATCAGGTCGCGTGTTTCGGGCATGACATCGCAGCCCGAAGTGTTCGCAGAACCCATCGCCTGGCCTGGCCGACATCAATATACAAACATTGTCAAAATCATTCAAAATCACTGTTTTTTGGATGGGTTTTGCATCCACCTCCTCTTTGTTGGAGGTGTTCAGTGGTGCCAACAAAAACTGACCTGACTACGTCCTGACTACGTGACCCCCCGACGTATCTCAAGACCAACGACCTCATGCCATGGCCAAGGAGGTCAAAGCCAAGCCTGCCACCAAGGCTACTCCCGTTGCCTCACCTGCGGCGTTCACTTGGGTGTTGGAGCCGGTGGTCGAGCTCGAGCACTCAAGACCAAGCTCGGCGCAGGAGCCAGAGATCACGGGGTCATAGAGTGAGGAGTTGGCGAAGCGGGGAAAACGGAAGGTGATCGTCGTGCCGCTGCCCTGGGTGGTGATCATTGGGTAGCCAGCAGCCATCTCCACCCACGTGCAATCCGTCTCCACCGCGGTTGAGAGCTCCAATTCGGCGGAACCACCCAAGGAGACCGTCTTGTTGTCCCCATCCTTCTTGCTGGCCGAGCCACCCCCCATATTCTGCACGGTGATGTCCAGCTCGACAGCGTCACCCACCTCACCATTCTTGCAGGTGGCACCTGCGTCACCGCACCAGGTCCAGTCCCACAAGCGGATGTTCCACTTCAGATCCCCCATGTTCACATCCCATGAGTCATTGTTCATGCCAACCATCCCGCTATCTGCAATCAGGAATGTATCCACGCCCAGCTTGCCGATGCTGGAGATAGTGGACTCAAAGGAGATCTTTGCCGCACTCACCGAACCAATCGACACTTGCTCGACCGCACCGACGGTGAAGGACTGCGAGGCGAAGGTGTTCAGGGAGTGCTTCACGCTGCCCGACTGGCCCACCGCTGTACCTGATGCATCCACCTCGCGAAGTGCATCCATGGTCACCCGAATGCCCACCGAGTTGCCCGAGGATCCTTTTGGGACGATCGTGAACTTGCCACTTTGCCCCTGAATGTTTACCTCCACGGGCACCTCACTGGTGTTTGTGCTTCCCCCCGCAGTTGTGGTGCCACTTTCACAGTAGGGGAAGCTTGCGGTCACCAATCGGGTTCCAGTCAGAAGGAACCACACACGCACGATCAGCGCCATCCTTCTTGTGCCGGTGCAGGAACCTGTTGGACCTATGAGCTTGGACCCTACTAGTACGATGCAATCAAGGTGTGTCGATTGACATCGTCATACCATTGAGCAGCTTTGTTCTCAGCTGTTCGTGTCAACACACACACATGTGTGTATAAGTAACATCATCGCATAGAGAGTCAACATTCAAAGCTGTTGAGAAAAGGAAAAAAGGATAGGACTCAAAGAAGGTGTTTGGGTCCCGTTAAGTATATGGGGGCAACCTAATTTTTGGAGGCCCAGGGGCCCATTCCTTCTCTTTTCCTCTCACTTTCTTCCTATCTTCGAAACACCGAAAAAAACACAACGTTCAACCTGACACTGTCAGGTGCGCCTCGGTGGTCCTCCTTCTCCAGCACGGTATGGGAGAGGGGGAACCACCCCAGCTCGCTGCTGTCCTGGAGACGAATCCGTCGACCCGAAAAAACAGGGGAGCAGCCAGCGGATTCAGGAGCAAAGGGATTGATCAATGATTTGCAATCCAATGCGTAAAGAATGGTGTTTATCTTAAGAGGAAGACCTCCGACCAATGTGTTTTGGTCTATTTCCTTTTATTACACAACCCAAATCAACAAGCTGGGAGGGCCCTGAGTTCTATCAAAAAAAATATATCAAAACAAGTTCATTCACATCACAAAAGATCTTTATAGATTGATGTGACTCTTGAGCAATCGATTGGTTGAGGTTGACTGGATCATTGTACGATTGGGCTAGCCCCTAGAAGTCTCGCGCATATCCAAGAAATCAGTGGATGACAACGGTGGCGCACGACGACGAGTGAGAAGCCAAGTAATGATGCAAGGTGTTGGGCAAAAGCTTGACAAATGAGGGTTCATTTTGTAGCTCTTCACAGGTTCTTCTCTTATTCATATCTAACTCCAGTGATTTCAGAGTAGATGGCACTGCCACCCCAAAAGGTCTTTTTTTTTGAACTTCAAGCAGCCTTCGGTCGAGCCGGTAGCCTTCGTGCATCGAATTACTGGGTGGAAGTCAGGACCGATTTTATCGGTCTGTGGCATGGGTACACACAATGCCATGACCAACTGTTCAAGATCTTCCGGCAACTCATCCGTAGAGTCGTCAAATCCCCGCAACTGTACATGTGCCTCGATGATGCGTGCAAGTGTGGCACACAGGGCACGTGGATAGGCCTTGAGGGTCATGGTTGCCCATGTACCGTCCGCCATCTTACCAATCGAGGTGTGCTTCGGTAGGCTGTTCTGAGACTGCCCTGCACGAAGGATCTGCAGCGTAGAAGGGGGTGGATGGATCATGAGCAGGTTTGTTGGTTTTGGCGAAATTGCGCCATATAGCCCTTGCCATATTCTGAACAGCTTGATGCCGTTCAGCTTTGTGAGCAGTCGGATTAGGTCAATCCTCCAAATTGATGCAGCATGCACCTCGGGAGGGTCCGCAGGATGTTCAATCAAAAAGAAACATCCGTTGATCCAAGAAAGGATGGCAAGCAGTATCGAAATTCCTAACAAGAGGTTGCCCATAGCAACCTGAGCAAACTCTCGCAGGAATAGCTTTGGAAGACCAGGGAGATGTTCAACTGAACGGAGGATATCCGGTCCACCATCTGTTTTGCCGTGCAGCCTGGCCCGGCTCCAGCTTTCACAGGGCGGGCCAGATACACAAGCGACCAGGATTCCCATCTCGATTGCGGTTCGAAAACGATGAAAGACCGCAGGATTAGCTAAGTTTCCATGCTCCTCACTAAACACGATATCGACACTAAGCGCGCGCAAATGCGGGCTAAGTGGGAGCTTCTCCAACTCTTCTTGGAGATCTCCTAGTCTTCTATGTCCAGAAAACAGATGTGCGACTAGGATCGGTCTATACCGGATTGCTTTCGGCACGAAGTTCTGTTCGAACTTCTGCTGAAGCCATACACGGATGACAAGATGCGGATCAGGTCGCGTATCAACTTCTGGATGGTTGTTTGGCATGAAAATTTCCTGCGAAAAGTTCTTCTGAAAATAAAGATGGACATCATTCCAGAAACAGGTCTCATTGGTGCATTGTCTTTGTTGATACTGAATCCAGTGTTCAAACACAGCATGAATTTCATCAAAATGAAGAGTAGTGTCCTGCGTCTGTTGAATGAGCAGGGAACCAAACTTCTCTGGATCAGTCAAAGCATCAAAACTGTTCACACTGGCAGTCCATCTGTTCCATTGTTCTTGTTCTACCGTTCCCAGCATGTCATATGCTTCGATATTCCTCGGTGGCAGTTCAGGCCCTTCCGCTTGTATCGGAGGCGTTTGGTAGAAACTACGATGTTGCTGTTCATGTCTGCTATTAAGGCCTGGAGCCAGTTCAAGAGGGCCTTGTCGGGTACGTAGCCAGTCCCGGCAGTGCTGGCTATATGTCAAATGTCTGACAAGCGATGCCTGCGATTGGTAAATTTGGAGGCATGCTCCACATTGTTGATCATTCGCCAGGAGGCGTGCGGGAGTGACTCGGGCATGAACTCTGAAGGCATGAACACTCCAGGCAGATTTGGAAGAAAACCATTTCTTACACGCCATACAAGCATGTCCGTCAGTCGAGGCCTTGAAGACATGTCCGATGGGTTCTCCAAGGTGTGGCTGAAGCAAGCTGATGGCTTCATAGTGCCACTTATCCCAGTTCTGATGTAGTTCAGCTTGTGCTAGGACATGTTTCCCAGCTTTGCCAACAATACTCATCCATCTGCCTTTCGAATGCGCGATGTATGTTTTCCATGCATCCCAATCTTCCAAAAGGCCTGGGAAAGGAAGCGGTGCGCGTCGTTGATTTTGCATCCATTGCACTGCTCGTGCAACCTCGTTCCACCAGTCAGGATTCTGCTGCAAAATGGCCCAAAGCACAGTATCACCAGCAGTAATGAGATGGTGCAAGTACCTTAATCTTGCAGTATGCAGTTGTTCAACAGGTGGAAGAACTTGCATCTTCACATGAAGCTCTTGTTGTCTCCATTCTTTGACAGCCAAACCGAAGTGCATAAATGCAACTCTTCTGAGCAGTCCATTGAGCTTTCGTGTGAAGTTAGACATGATCGTTTTATTAAACGGCATCCATACGGCGAGGTTATAGTGCAAAGCCGAAATGACCAGTGAAGCAAAGAGCTGCATCTTCTTTGACAACAGCATTTTCTGATTCCCAAAAATGGAAGTCTTATACTGCGTCACTCTTGTGTGTGCAGCTGCAAAGCGGACTCGCAAGTCTTTCCAGGCACTTCCATTGGCTTGCAGCCAAACCCCTAAATGTTTATAGGTATCAGTTACTCTGATTGCGTCAGTCACAGTGGTGGAAACAGTTGTGAGTGTCTGGCCATGTATAGCCAGAACCTTCTTAACATGCGAACTGTTTTTCCCCACTAGTCGAATCAGTGCTTCGGTTTTGCCGGGTCCAAGATTAGCAGTCATGCCCGCGACAGTCAGTCTGTCAAACAATTTTCCAACTATGATGGACGCATTTTGCAATAGGACAGTCGGGTCGCTATGTCGCAACATGATTGCAAGATCATCGGCCCAGATGGGTCCGAAACATTGAATGACATGGTTGTTATGGCTTGGCACCGGCTCTTTTTCTCCACTCCATCGAAATTCCGAGAGCACACCATATGGCTGCAGTTCCATGCCAAGTTGCTTCATCAATCTGGCAAAAGTGAAAGAAAAAAGCAAGTCAGCATAGCTATCTCCAGGACGTGTGCCTTTCCGTGTCAGAGTGAGTTGCGTTGTGTTTTTCATTGAGAACCATGTACCAGTCATGGCATTCTGCATCAAGCTTTGCAAATAGTCCGGAATATCCGCTTGTCGGAGCGCACCTGGAAACTCCGTATAGAGACAGAAATCTTGGTACGTGTCTGGTGGCAGCTGAAGTCGATCAAACAACTGACGAACTCCTTCTGAAGAGATGCTCGTATCAACAATGTGTTCTCGGAGCACTCTGTAGAAAGCTTGTTGAATGTCAACGAATACCACCACAGTGGACATTTTCCTTGCCCACGAATCATGCAAGAAGGCATGTAGGGCATGTGAAGCTTGGGTCACGGATCTCTGTGGTAACCCGCCCAATTGGAGAGGCTCACTATATCTTTGCAGATATGGAGCAAGTTGCTGCCGCACAAGCCTGTGATGCACCTTGCCGAGTGTCGAACTAACCAGCAAAGAGCGGTAAGAGGACATCTGGCTTGTATCTCCTTTGTGCTTGTATGCTTGTACCAAGTTGCCGCCTTTAAAAAGCACCGGTTCTTGTCCAAGAAGGAAATGCTTCAACAATAGTGGGTATCCTTTCCTTGCCAGGACTGTTGCCGCAGCATGTAAAATTTCACCCGGGACATTGTCCTCAAAGTAAGCCTTATCTCCTTTTGTTCTTCTCATGGCCGCTTCGAGGTCAGTGAGTGTTGGGAGTTGATCCCATGTAATGCCAGTGAATTGAGCTGGGCGCGAACTGAGCTCAAGAAGTTGAGCCTTTGTCGTCTTGACACCATCTTCTTGTCTGGCAAAGAAATCTCTCCACTCTTCCGCCCATTCATCAAAAGATTCAATGATGGACCCATCATTCTTTTGTATGTATGGAAGCGGTTGAACTCCTCGTTGGTATTTCTTTCCTGCAACTCCGACACGTCGAAGCTGTTTGTAGAGTTCATTAGGTGGTCCATGTATGGCGTCCTCAGTGACCGATTCAAGGTAGACATTTCGATCTTGACGGAGAGCCTGTCTCAATTCTTTCTTGGAACGTCCCAAGGCATCACCCGCCTGTCTGATCCGTTTGAAGATGAGCCATAAAACCTCCCAGGAGCGATCATGGATCTCGGCCAGAGGCTTTTGCTCTTTCCAAGCGACAAAGCTAATGGCAAGATC